GGGGGGGAGCGCTCCCCGCGTTCCCCGCCGGGGTCCCCGACGGGGACCCCGTTCCCCGACGAACACTAGCTTTGACTAATAATGAGCGTAAGAGATCACGCATGAGAACGATTCACAAGTGATATGGGATAAAAGTAGCACGATATGGTCTGCTGACCTAAAACGAGCGAAAGTTATTTTATTCAGGGTAGCATAGTGAATTATAAATAATCGAATCCGATATGTGTATTGAAATATATTTTATTTTATTCTATTGAACTTTATCAATAGGAAATCAGTTGCATTCAGACGAATTCGCAGCAATTTTCTCACATCAACAACTTTAGATATCAGTGATTCGTGATGGTAATCATTCAGAACGTACCAACGGTCTGCCATCCAATCTAGATTCTAATTGTCATTTTGTTGGTAAAGTGACATCTCATGGTGACGTTGCGGCAGCCATTTCCAACTGTCACTCACTGATGGGTACAATCATAATGGATGATCACTTTCTTATGATACAACCCATTCCTGAACGTTTAAAAGCTTATCAGGTCGGTGCACGAATCGTTTTCATCTCATACGAACTCTCCGTTTATGTATTAATCGTTCAACGATGATTCACAGGGATTGATTTTGCAGTGGAATTGAATCCTTGATTTGACGAATCGATAGCAGTTGTTAGATATGATCACAAAATGTCCGATTGATTCATATTGAGTGACGGTAACAAATTCGCAGTGGATATATTACAGGTAGAAGAACATGTTGTGTATAAACGTGAAGCGGGTTTAATGAATTCATTAGAGCGATCGATAGAAGAGCAATTGATTCGATTGAACGACGAACCTCTCGGTGATCAGTTCTGCGACGTTAGTAAGTCAATTGATGCCACTGAAGAGATGAATAAGCATGCAGGTGTGTGCTTTGCTTAAGCTCCAAATAAGGTTTAATCTTTTATTAAATGTTATTTGGAACACGTCTTGATGAAGGATGCAATCAGCATTTGGATGGTACCTTCTCATGGCAATGAAATGCACTCTCAATATACACAATACATGAATAAGTACAAATTGTGATAGCACTTTGGTACGAGTCCATTTTGAGATCTTAGTTCCATCAAGTCTTGATGAGTCCCAATTATCAGATTCTATTCGTTGCTTTGCTATGTTATCGTATCTACATCTGAAATCCTTTATCAAGTATTGAAAAAAATCACTCCAGCGAGGAAAAATGAAATGCGTGTCGTTTACTTCATGAATGAACTTAAGGCGAATCAGATGTAAGCGATAAGCACAAAGATGTATAAACGACTTAGTAAGTGAAAAATACACAAAATTTAAGATCTACAAAAAATTCTAATGTAGCGGTGCATTTGCACTACTGCATTAAAATTCTCACAAACAAAGTGTTCCAGAAAAGGACTTGAAAAGAACTGCATTTCAAGCCTTCGAAGAATCGGTTTTTTTGCGAATCAGAGACAGGTCAACGTTTCTCCACACTTTTAGACGAGTGAGAGGTTTCAGCGTGGTTGCATCTTGAGCAAGCTTCTCACCGCAGTTATATTTCACTGGCATACTGCAGTGCGCATCCATCCCCTGGTAACATTACTGCTTGACGCGCTTCAGTTTCTTTTTGCGGATGATGCGATACACATTTGCGCTTGAAGGATTACACTGATTGCTGTCAGTCAGTCTAAACGCTTATGCATATTGGATTGAAGGTGATCAAATGCAAAGCCTTCTATTGATAAGAAAAACTCGTTCTGATCCGAAACGTTTCAAAAGTTATTCCGAGGGCTGCCTGATGAAGTGCAGCTTTGCTTTTGCAGTTTCCATGCTATGCAAATTGTTCGTTGCTCGATGCTATTGTTGCTTTGAAGCTTGTGAAGCTTTTTTATTCGTCATTATTTTGACATTTCATTTCGAGTAGAATACCGAGAAAATGAACGTATGCAGTGAATTATTTTATGATTTGATTATCCACATTTTTCATTGCTCTGGAACATTGATGACATTGGTACACGCACTGGTTTCGAACAAAACCTTCTACAGCGAGTGGAAGTCGAACCCGCGACGCACCGATTACCGATTGGGTACTCTACCTTTGACGTATCGTGGAAACCGTTTGGCCTTCGCCAAATGGCTGGATCATGTTTTTAAACGTTCTTCAGTGCCTCTGATTCGAAATTGATTTGATGAGTGTCAAACGCTAAGAGCTCAGAGGTAGAGTACCAAACCGTTAGTTGGTACGTCGCGGAGTGGACTCTTGCTCGCAAAGGAAAGCTTTGCTCAAAAACGAGAAATGCACCAATATCACTGAGGTTATCGACTCTGAGCCAGGCCATGATTTGGCTTGTGTCTGATTTGGCTTGTTCATGCTATCACGATCTTAGACAGGGAATCGAATGACCCATTTATAGGTATGATGAAGTAAACAAACGTTGCCATAGATCTTACAGGTGAAGCACTAGCGTTCAACTATACTTTACCGTCAGTGGCAAAACTTGACTCATTATTCATATTTCCACAACTCGATCCGATAACACTCGAAATTGGTTTATTCCTTGATTCGAAGCTATTCGAACATTTTCAACGTGAATATATCGGCGATCCAGAGCAGCATTTACTTGATTTCTCATTAGCGTTAATTAACAATGTGCACGTATTGTATCAGCAGTCATCCATGTCACCAGTTCTCGACATTGTTATCGTTCGATATGAACTTTGGAAATCTCAACCGGTACTTTATAAGATTCTTTTGCATCCGAATTGATCATTTTGAAATGTTTTATTGGATTTGGAGTGGTGTTGCTGGTAGTGGTTACATAATTCAATGACATCTGCTTCGTGCTATTACTTGAAATAATCAGAACGTTTTAAATTTAATTCAGTAAAAATGTTTGTCAGCCGAAGTTGAATTCTAAACAGATATTGACGTTTTGAATATAAATTCATCATGACCACCATTGTGATGGCTGCACTGTGTACAATTAATTTCATTGTTTCGTTTCAGGCTGGATTGGAAACACTAACACACAGAAATGGACAAGCCCAAATTCTGTTGAATGGTTTTTGCCGACACCAAGCAGCTATCAATCCTGGATCTGATCTAACTGATCCAGGTCATTGGGATCACGGAATTTTACTGACTGGGTGAATACTGAATGAATAGAATTTTCAAGCACTCTGTTAACAATGAATCATGCTATCGTAGATAATTGGATCAATATAACTTATTTGAAAGTATCGCAACTCGTGACATACAAACCCTTCATCCTATCATAAAATGCAACTATTCGTCAGTTTCTCAATGTTTTGTTTGGTGAATTTAAAAAAAAATTACAGTTACGACATTTACCATACAACAACTTCGGTTGCTGGCGTAGCACCGGTGGCCAGGATGTGTGATGACATATTCGCGTGCAGTCTTGTTGAGGGTCTTCATCTCGGTCGATCGTTCGTTCTTGCTCATGAAATGGGTCACAAGTATGAAATATTCTTTCAAAGTTCATTTTCAGTTCATTTTTCATTCCACTGATATCATTTTTTGTAGTGGCTCATAGCCCTCTATCCTCTTCTTTTTCCTTAACCACTGAAACCCTTTCCAATTAAACAGCCATTCTCAACATTTCATAATTCTCGCATGCTTCAAAATTTGTCACATATGAGAAATATAATGCAGTTACGGATTTTTTTTGCATCATAAACGCAGTGTCCATTGTAAAAACAACTTCACTGTGAATCAGTGGTTCTCACACTCTTGCGTTTCGCACCCGGACTAATCTCATAGTAAACCAACATTCCCACTTCAGCAATCTGCGCGATTACAATTCCCCTCCTCTAAGAATCTATTACTTTTTAGCAACAAATTAGGATTTTGTTCCATTGATCAAAAGTTTGCTGTCAAAAGTAAATTTTTGGACAATTATGGAAGAACTATGGGAAAAATCAATCAATAGTGATTCACCTGCCTCTTCAGCTGTCTTCCCTCATCATACCTCCCAAGAGATTACTGTTCAATGCTATACAGGACTGTTATAAACCTAGGAAACATCAGCAGATGGTTTGGGTATGTTTGAGCAAACACAATATGTTGTATGTTTCAGTATGGGTATGGTGCACGATGGTGTTCAGAATCAATGCAGTCGGAGTTGCTGTTTGATGTCAGCAGTTAACGGTGCTGGTAAAACAACATGGAGTGATTGTTCGGTGCGAGAATTCAACGCATTCCTCTTGCAACTCGAGTCAGTCGATGCTTCATCGCTTCATTCGCTGATTTCCTCTGAAGAATGTTATCTGTAAATAATTCCTAAAGAGTTTCCCCAATAGGCGAAATGATTCTGAATGGTTACAGCGAGAGTGGTCGAGGAAATTGCTTGCGAGATGCAGCCGGAAGGATTTCAGTCTATGATCACTTGAAGAATGGTCTCCTTCCAGGACAACGCTTCACAGCTGATCAGCAATGCTCTTACTTTTGGGGAAAAGACTACCAAGTGGAGATTCCAAATCACAGAAAAATGGATGTACGTATTTGATGGATTATTCTCTGCAGTTTTTTTTTCAAATGCAGTTGTCTTGAAAAATATATACTGTCAGTTACTCAAGTGAAAGCGAGGTTGAATGGAAAGATTGTAAAGTTATTTTCTCTTGAAGCAAGTGGTGAAAATAATCTCCAAAAAATTACTGCAATCGAGAGATGAGATTATTGTTAAGATCTTTTTGAGAGATAGGAATGCAAAAATTGTTCGTCGATCAATCTCATATACCAACATTTCATGCACTGCTTAAGTTTTGCAAACATTGTTCTCATTTTAAAAACGATATTATCATTTAGGATATTTGTCGTATATTGTGGTGTGGTAATGGTGGATCAACAATTTCAACAGCTCATCCGGCATTAGAAGGCAGTTGGTGCGGCGGAGACAAGGCTCGTTTGACATTTTGATTACAAGCAGTCCAGTGAAGTCTAGATATCACTGTTTATAACAGTGGTTCTCATGTTCGGGTGCTGCATTATCCATTTTGATGATCTGGCAGGCCGCCGTTACCCCCACCCCTCCCCCTATTAAATATGGAAATCACATATTGTGTTCAGATGACCATTACGTTCATTCTTACTAGCTCGTCCATGATGGTAATCGACACCGCTGGGCCTTCTCTTAGACCGTTGAGTTCTTCAGTATTGAAGTCGAATATGATTGCACGAAAAGTTATTGTCTGTGACACGCTCACTTCAAACTGATTCAGATGGATTCTCATTCTTTTCAGGCGTGTTGTATTCACTCTCATGTCTATTACATGCGAATATCGTTCTGTTGATGAGTTTTTCTCATTCACTTCATCTCATTTCACTTCACAACTTCTTATTCTGTAGCACATACTATTTACTAACGACTGTTGACAGCAGAAATCAGCAATATAGCAGTCGAATTGAACTGCTCAACAACGTTCGGCAGTCAAATGATCATTTATAGAATACATTGTATAGAATGAGAATTTGACCCTAATTGTTGAGTGAAATGAATGAGAAAATAGTAGAAGAGAACACTTTTGTTGATAAAAGCTATGAGAGTAATTATAACAGCAAGGAAAAGAATGAAAACCTTGTTAAAACGGCATTTAAAGACAAATGGATGTAATTTCAGTGTTGCCATCAACTACCTCATTTACTTATCCGAGATGAAAATCACCATCACAATGGTGTTCTATCATAGCATGACAATTGCACTGAATTCTATTTTCCTGACCCCTCCATTACCCTTTGACACCTCCCATTACCCAAACTGAGTAATTTTACCCCCTATGAGAACCACTGGCTTATACGAACTATGTATATATCAGTTTTGCATCTATCTCCAAACTCATTTTCGAAGTATTCCCACGAATTTGCACTAATCGAGAATACAGTTCGAAGTTGACAAAAGAACTCTGTTTCGTTATCGTCATCCAAAAAATCGCATTTCAGCAAAATGAAATCAACTCGAGAAAATGACTGTACGAAATATTTATGCCAGTTTATCAACACTGTTGTTCTTCCTCATCAGTCTGGCTATTGTGACCGCATAATTATCAGAATTTAATCGAAATCCTATTTTCTAGTTCTGCATCGAAGGCGAATGCACCAATTGGCGTTATGGACCAAAACCGCTTCCAGTTGATGGTGGATGGTCAGAATGGAGTGGTGCCGATCAACGATGTCCGATAAGTCAATGTCAGATAACCGGAAGTATTCAGTTGAAAAGTCAACTGAGAACATGCACAAATCCTGCGTACGTTTTCCGATCAACCGATTTAAATGTCGATGCACTGAGAGGACTGAAGACGACGCTTGAAAAATTTTAATGAAGACAGTATACTTGAATCAATCTCAACTTTGGCCAGTGGAAGACAGCTTCACATAGCCGAAACAGTTCTAGTGGAAGTTGTTATAGGATGTTCAACTTTCAGACCGAACAACGGGGGGAAGCGATGTAAGGGATCAAATATACGAGGATTGATTTGTGGTAGCGTGCACTCTTCATGTGAAGGATTGTCGAGATTGGAGTTTGGTACACGTTTATGTACATCCATCAAAAATGATCCTGTCAAGCCTGATCATCAGCTCAGCGGACAGACGTTTCTTCGTCAGTTTTTTTTTCACTATTTTAATTGCTTATCCAAATCCAAANAAAAAAACAGTTCAATTAACGGCATTAAGTACTGAAATGATGAGTGCATTCCATTAGTGAAGAGATGAACATCAGTCTCATATTAGTGATATTGCAGACGGCACTCAACCGTGTAAAATTTGGTGTCATTTGATTGGCACTGAAATGATACGGAACAAGGGGCAATATCCAGATGGATCGCCTTGTGGTGTTGGCGAATACTGCATTGGGGGAGCTTGTTTGGTGAGCGCGTTTGCACATTAGTGATCGACAAAACAATAGTCACTTTAAAATAACGTTATTGTCTTCATGATTTTAAGTTAAACTGTGAATAGAAATCATTCATAAAATCATCGTTTAATGTGAAGTGGTTCAGAAAACAGTCTCACCGTTTCGAAATTTACTTGGTAGGTATTCATTATATCCTGGCGACCGGGAAGGTAGTCAACGTGATAAAAGGAACAGATTTCGTAAAAGAAGTTAATTTGAGTTTGCCATCATTTAAACAAATGAAGTGAATGGCGCAACGAATCTAATAATCAGCGCAAAGTTCGGCGACATTTTCATATAATTCAGGCATTATCTTGTGACAATCAAGCAGTGGTGAGCGATCGGCGAGATTGTCCACAAACCGATGCAGAGAGCTCTAAGGAATCGGAGTGGACTGAATGGCAGGAATGGTCCACATGTTCTGTGACCTGCGGCAATAATGGATCTCAGACAAGACAACGATCCTGTTCATCTTCACATGGGGATGTGAGTTGATCATTTATTTATATAAGACGAGATAATCGACTGATATTATGAATTTCTATTGAGAATACTCTAGTTGCTTCCTATCATATCCCCCAGCTTTAAGCAAACACGCCTTCAAGAACGANGTCATTGCATTGAAGTCATTGCATTCTTAGATTATCGGATTTTTCAGATTTCGGTGATCCGTGAAAAATATTCACCTCCTCGAGTAGATCTGATTAATTTGAATTCGCTTGAAATTCAGTTGAATACAACAACAGCCTGATATAGATATTGAATTTGAATATGGCTTTTTAGAACAGTTGCACTGGAGCTGAAGAAGAAGTTAAACGATGTGACCCTGAACCTGATCCTTGCGAGGAATATTCAGAGTGGACAGATTGGTCAACGTGTAGTGCAACTTGCGATGGTGGAGTGCAAACACGACTTAGGAGCTGTATGAGTAGTGAAGATTGTTCTGATGATCTCAAAGAAGAGAGAAGTTGCAATGAGGTTTATTGACGTTCTCTTATTTTTGAACATTTCTTTTCGCAGTTCGAAACCAACAAATGCAGTTTTATTGTGCAGCGATAACCATACGAAGAGAATCGAGATTCGAATTCAGGTCATAATTTTCAATTAATGATGGTCATATAAAATTTGGAATATTTCATTCATGGATGCAATCAATTTGATCAGTAATTCAAAATGACCGGCTAGAACTATTTACAGAACGAATGTCCTAAATGGGGTGAGTGGTCGAAATGGGAAGAATGCAGCGTGACATGTGGAGGTGGTCAACGAAGCCGATCGCGTGAGTGCAGTGATCCTGGAAAATGCGAAGGAGAGGGAAAACAAATCGACGGTTGCAATTCACATGTGAATAATAACTCATTAGCTCTTGTCATAAATCCGATAAAAGTCATCTTCAATTTTCAACAATTGCGAATGATATTATTCCGACTCGTTCAACTGCTTATTTCATCGTATTAGATGAGAAAATTCATCTGAGAGTGTTGGGGGTGTGACATCCACAAAATGTTGATACTGGAATGAATTTCACCTGTTGCAGAACTGATCACTGAAATTGAAATCAGCCGTGTCAGTCAAGAAGATATTTTCGAATGCTATTTACGCCAACAATGCAGACATAGATTTTAGTAATATTCTGGTTCATATGAGAAGTTTCAGCGATAAACATGTTCCAGGAATGTATAAGTGAATCGTGGAGTGACTGGACCCCTTGTTCGGTTACCTGTGGCAGTGGATTTCAGACGCGTGAACGTCTCTGCAATGGTGTTGCATGCGAAAACGGACACAGAGAAGCAAGAACATGCAGTCTTAAGGTACTGTCTGCCTTGTTTCAACCATTTTACGACTTCAAAAACGCAATTTAACCTTAGTCAACTCGTATCGATAGCTGGTTTCAATCTTTTGATGGAGGCATGCAAACTTCAATTCTATAAGGGTACTTTTCGATAGTTGATGATTTTAGCTGAAGGGAACCATTCAGGAAATTAATTTACAATGCTCACATGACCTACCTTTGATCCTGCACTTTCTTTTGACTGCGGAAATCATTTTCAAACTTTTTTCATCATTGTTGACACACGAGTTCGNAAAAGAGTGGAATATGATGCAGAAAATTGGAAACTCTTGAAAATGTGTTTCATAGGATTGTACGACCATGGAAGAAGCATTCTTGTGGGACGATTGGTCAGAATGGTTCCCATGTTCGGAGACATGCGGCGAGGGCATACAGATTCGGCAAAGAAACTGCATCACAGGTTGTTTATTGCATTGATAACACTTGATCGCATTAAATTACTCCAACTTTTTCGTTGAGTTGTTCTCTTCCACATTTTTATTTTATTTTTAAACGTGGCAATCTCACATCCAACCAACCATTCAATACCGTCACTTTAAAATTGAAGATTCCTGCCGCTTCCTTTTGAGCGTATTTGAAATTGAATGAGTAATTGCAGGAAACTGTCCAAGTGACGACCGATCAATAGATCAACGTCGATGCGTACTTCAGCCGTGCCCACAGTGGTCATCCTGGGGTCAGTGGTCTTTGTGTGAAACTTGTGATGCGAATGAGACTCGTCAAAGGAAACGTGTTTGTGAAGTTGGACTTGTTCGTGCAGGAGAGGTGACTGTTGAATGTAAAGGTAGATTTTAATGCGCTCTCGTATAAGTTCGATGTCAGGAATAGTTAATTAACGCAGATATAATATTAACCTTAAAAGTATTTCAGAAAAAATAACATTCATAAATTATTGAAGGCATGTGATGTAAAAATGTGATAACGCAAATGAAACTGTTCATTGATTATCATCCATTTCCCTATCTCATTACGATATGCATCCAATCTATATATACGTACTGAACTCAAAAGTCATTTCAGGTGATGCTAAAGAAACAGAATCTTGTGAGACAACGTGTAACATCGTTGCGCGTGGTGTTAAAACGAAGAATGTGGAAAAACCGAGCAAAGTGACCGACAAAAATGCAGTCAGCTCATCAAAGTCTAAGTCGAACAGTGTTTATGATAATTGGCAAGAATGGAGTCAATGTACAGTCTCGTGTGGTGGTGGAACTAGGCATAGGTTGGTAATCGTCATCTGCATTATCAATTAATCATCATCTGGACGTGGAAGCGAATTCAGTCCGTCATCGTGATGGTGAATCCGTCTTGGGAGTTCTGAACTGAAACTGCATTTTCACAACGGATAAAAATTGAAGCACAACCCACAGAGCAAGCTTTTCAGATTACGAGATTGTATCAAAGATGAGGATTGCTTGGCGCATGGGCCATCTATTGAAATCGAGCCATGCAATGAACTGAAGTGTGAATATGGTATAGTTAGTTCGCTTCTATTCGACAAGCTTATTTGTTTCGATGTTTTGTAGCTATTCGAGAACA